TATAATACCTATTGTTTCCTTCCATACAGTGGGCACTTTTTTTTTAAATCAGAAGAAATTAAGAGGAAAACTCCTATTTACTAATTTTCTCTTTAGTTTGTATCTACAACACCCATTTTATTTTTTGGACTTAGATGATTGGATCATCTAAGAAGATGGCAAAGCTTCTTAAAACTATTTTCATCACTCCATTTAAATAAGAAGAAAAAGTGTTTCTCCCCTAGGCACCTTAAAAATTCATTTCTAAGCTAAAAAAATACAACATGCATCTTCCCCAACTTCACAGTTGTCTCATGAAAACAACAAAGCTATCTGTTCTTACAGCCTCTCTGAAGAAAGGTGCTATAAAATGTCATTTGACCATCTTCTAGTCTGTATTAGGAAATCCAAACTCCAAAGAAAAATCTCCATTTAATTATTTGCTCCTCTGCAAAATATTATAAGTGAATTGGTGGAAAATCTTGTCAGATTATTAAATCTGATTTTCTCATGCCCTATCAGTTTATTTATAAAAGTAAGATTCACAAGGAATCATGCTTCCTCAAAAGACATAAAAGACATAAGACCTCTACTGTGTCTTTCTTACCATGGTCCTCAAAAGAATTGTCTGATTATTTGTTATAACAAAAACCAGAGTTTTAGAATCCGTGGTTCTGAAATAAGTTACTGAGGCAAACTCCTTCATGGGAAGTATTTTTAAAAATAGGACAGAATTTGTCATCTTTCAGTTGCTTGGGGAACAGTACTTCTTAGAGAAATGTAATGGATTAAATGATTCTTTCCAAGATTTATTATATACATTATCTGTGTTGGAATGGATGGTAAGGGGATTTCAAAAGTTAAAAGGAAGTGGTAACAGCTGATTCTATAAAATACAAACTCTAAATGCATCCAAGATATGTGGGAGGCTACACAGTTATAAAACCATCTGGACTTCTGTCCATTTTTCGTTGGCCAAGAGTACCAGACTAAGCAAAATACTTGTTCAACTTCTAAATACCTTCTTTACAGTGTCCTCATGCTATGATGTCATATGCAGGTGTTAATATGGCCATGTTAATGGTTGCCTTGGCAATTTGAAAAAGTAAACTTGGTGTTTTAGCCCTTAAGAAGTAGTGGTCAGATATCATTATTTAAGGATTAGCTTTATTTTAAAATTTCAATTGAATCTCAATGTTTAAAAATGTCAGAGAAAAGCCAGAGTTCACTAGGGTACAAGTAAGAAGTGAAAGCTTTTTCTTTTCACAAGGAAATTGTGGTTATATTTGTTCAAAAACAGATTTGCCTTCAGAACTAATGTGTAAGCAACAAGAAAACCACTTTTAAGTAAAAAGTTCTACTCTTTTTTTTTAACCCAGAAATAATCATTACTCAAACTGATCATCCACCTATTCACTCTTGATTCTGAACAACTTTAAGTTTTTCAAAAAAGGAAGTCCACCCTCAAAAGACAGGGCTTTTCCACCAGTGAGTATATATGTATATAAAATAATGTGCTGTAGACTCAGAACTCTATTCTCAAAGAGTCATCCCTCAATTAGTTCCGGCAGAAGTAGGATCGTGTTTGGAATAAGTATAGAGTATTCCATGATGGTATTTTGATAGAGACAATTATTTTTCCATACAATTTTTAGCATGAACTAAAGATCTGTGGTTTGAACCCACCTGCCACTCTGCGGGAGAAAGATGTGGCAGTCGGCTTCTGTAAAGAGTACAGCCTTGGAAATCTTGGGGCAGTTCTACTCTGTCCTATAGGGTTGCTATGAGTTGGAATTGACTCAACTGCAACCGGTTTGGTTTTGGGTTTGCTCTTATGGTTGTAGGATGGCTCCCACCCAAATGCTCCCTTTTTCATGACGAATAAGAGGAGAAAGACTAATTTTCTCTAGCTTTGCAAGCAAAAGTTCTAAGATTTATCCTAACTTGACTAGCTTAGGTTACCTGCCCACCAATTATTTTTGCTGGGGGAATTTTTTTGTAGAGCTCTGGTTGGTCAGTGTTTAAAAGCTCAGTTACTAACCAAAAGATCAGCAGCTCGAATCCACCAGCCACTCCTTGAAAACCCTGTGGGGCAGCGCTACTCTATCCTATAGGGTGGGTATGAGTTGGAATGGACTCTACGCCAATGGGTTTGGTTTGGTTTGGTTTTGAGACTAGCTTAGTTTACCTGCCCATCAAATATTTTTGCTGGGGGAGGGGATTGTGCAGCTTGACTTAAACCAAACTGGACCATTTCTGGAGTGGGGTAGGACTATGTTTCCTGAAAACTAAGGGGTCTGTGGAGGAGGTATGAATATTAAACAAAAATTTAAATACTGGTAAGAAGGCAGAGGGGAGTGATGAATGTTGAATTCACATGATTATGTATGTTCAAGAATGAAAATAATAGTTTCTGAGTTTCAAGGTGATACATCAGGTAAGGAAGTAGGAATTTCCAGTGCCCAGAGGGAACATGTTTGAGAAATTTACAGAATTCAAAAGCAGAGGAGAGCTGGAAGTGGTGTTGTCATGAGGAATACATGGCAGAGGTACTGGTCTCCTTTAGGTCCTTAGGAGCACAGCATTAAGAAGCATCGAAAGCTGCTTCAGTTTGGGAATCTGAACAGGAATATTTTCCAGCTGAAATAAAGGTGAGAAGGAGTGACATTTTCCCTTAGAAGCAGGTATCTTAGGCAAAAAAAAAAAAAAAAAAAGTTGCTCTTGAGTCAATTTCGACTCGTGTTGTCTCTAGTGTTTCAGAGTAGAACTGTGCATAGGATTTTCAATGGCTGTGATCTTTCAGAAGTGATCTTTAGGCCTTTCTTCCAGGGCGCCTTTGGGTGGATTATAACTGCCAATCTTTTGGTTAGTAGCCAACCTTTCAGTTATTAGCCAAGTGCCTAACCATTTCTGCCACCAGGGACTCCATAAACAGTTCCTAAACCATGACAGTGGTGGCAGCCACTGAAATACAGAACTGAAAAAAGTGCCTGTCCCCAAGACATTGTGGGGACTCTATTACTAGAGCGATCCTACCATCAGTGCAGAAGGTAAGTGCTGGGAACCCAAAACAAAAAAGGGAAAATGGAAATATAAGTGGATGGGGATCCACTGGATGAGAAAGAAATCTCACATAAGAGCTGGTGCTTGGAGTTGTGCTTATGAATTTCTAACATTACTAGAAGGCTGCAGTGTCTTAACTTGATTCTATAAGAAATAAGATAGTTTATGCAGGAGAATCCCCTCTGCTCCAGATATGGTAGGTTTATAGTGCCTAAATTACCTTTCTATGGGAAGATATCTCCTAAGTTTAAGTTCACAGACCATGGGTTCTAGACTATTGGCGTAGACAGACTTTCAGCATCTTAGTGAGAGCAATCCATCTTCCTGTCTTCTTTTGGATATCACCAAATCTCACCAAATACTGTGTTTGGGAATATCATTTTGCCTGGGATAACTACCTCAATTCCAGTGAGAGATCGCTCAGCTTACGGTTACCTAAGCAACAGCCCTTATAGCTGAGAAAGAGCAGAACAAGAAATCAAAGAGAACTTTACTTCCTTTAAACACTAACTCAGAGGAGGTAAGACAATTAGATTTTGGATTTTAATGCCTTTGAACTTTGATATGCTGTGTTGAATAATGTGGCTGGATATAACTGGGGGTGTGAAATAGAATGGGAGTAGATTTTTCAGCCTTATTTTTCCTTACTTCAGTTTCTCACAAGGAACTACAATACCCTTATTCTTGGTTCTTGCAGTCAGGTGGGGATGACTGAGTGGTCTGGCAACAGGCCAAAATCCTACATGTGATCTTTCAGGTCAGACCGTAGCCAATTACAAAAGCTTTGCTTGGCAGACCTCATGGAGGAAAGCTGCCCTCCCCACACCAGACTTGTTTCACAGCTAGTGCTTACAGTTTTCTGGGAGGAGTTGCAGTCAAGAACTCAGGGCTGTCTAGGCCAGCCATGCTCATAGGCATATCTGCATTCCTAGTTCAGGTACTTCCATTCAAAGGCTTTAAAGATGGTGTGACAGCAGTGTCTGACCTCCTCTAACTTCACAAAGGGGGAAGGAGAATCAAGAACAATAGCCCAAAGCTGGTTGCTTTGAGGCAGAGGTCAGACACACCTCCTCTTTCTGCCATCTTTACCAATTCTGACACCAAACATCCCTCCCACGGCATCCTCTATTTCTTTGCTAGGTTCAGTAATTCATTGTAATGGGCACACAGAACTCACAGACCATACTCATGATTATGCAGTTTATCAGGGAGGTAACAGGTTAGAATTCAGGTTCAGAAATGCTCAGGATACAGTTCTTCCATCAGGACCGCCTCTTCTCAGCCTTGCCCACAGGTGCACCTCTCTGGCCCTTGGCCTCTGCGCTGCTTGGGCAAGTGTTACAAAGTTCTTTTAGCTCTGCTGATAAGTGCCCTGAGGCATCCCACTCTGCCAGTAAGCCTTGGCTGAAGGTGCTCAGCTCTAGTTCCCTGGGTTGGGAAACCCACATCTCATGCTGGTCTCTACTGCTGACATTTCTCTGCCACCACTTTTCACTGTCTTCAGTGTTGCAGCTCTCTCTCTCTTTCTCTTTCTCTCAGTCTCCTGGTTCCAGGAGAGTCTCAGTGCAAGGATCCCAGGTCCAAAGGACATGCTATACTTGTGGCTATTTTTTCTTGGTTGTGCCTTATTTTAAGCCTTCTCACCTCTAGGATGCTTTATTTTAAGCCTAGTGGGATGGCAAAACTGATCAATTCCCTTGGTGGGCCACAAATACCTTACTTGCACAGTCACACGTAATCACTTGGATGGGAATTTCAAGACCATAGAGAGAAAGGCCACACAAAAGTGATCCATTGCACCACAGAAGCCTCCTTATGGTGTG